CGCCGGGCGGGCCCCACTGGCCGCCGCCTGCGGGCGGCGAGCGGCGCAGCCGATGACGCGGGGGGCGGTGAGCTTGCTGGCCTGGTCGGCTTTGTGACAGCTGCTACAAGCAGAGGCCTGTCGTCGCACGACGGCTGCGCAGCAGCGGCACACGAACAACCCGACGCGCAGGCGGCACACGGCTGGGGTGGCGGCGGGGACTCACCAAAGGGACCCCCCAGAGGCGGCCCGCCCGGAGCCCCGGGTGGAGGCGGCGGCCCCCACGGGTTGTTCTGCAATGCGTATGAGGAGATGCAGGCAAACTGATCAGCTATGCATAACCCTGGCCTGCGGGCAAGCCCAATACAGTACTGTTGCGCCGCGCTGCGGGACGCCCCCCGAATTGCAGCCACGCTGCCCTGGCGGCCGCGTCGCTGCGTCAGGAGTTGCCCAATCTAGTACATCACCAGGCTCCCCCCTCACCGGCGGGAACGGCGGCGGCGCGCCCGGCGGGGCGCCTGGGAACGCGCCCGGGGGCGGGAACAGCGGCGGCGGCGGCGCGGGCGGCGCGGGCTGCTGCGGTGGCGAGGGGCGGAACCAGCGGCAGCGTGAGCAGGGTGTGCAAGTCGCGGGCTGCGAACAGTGCAGAAACCGCCGGCATGGGCGTTGCCACACATGGGACGACGCATGGTGTTGCCAGCATCGCCCTGTCAAGAGGCTCCTGCCTCGCCATCCTCCCTTGCATTGCTACGGACACGCCCTGCCTTGTGCGCCCGGGCCCACCGCCCCAGCCCGCTGCCGGGCATCACCCACCGCGGATAGGATGGCCGGGTCGCTGGGGAGCGGCGCGGCCTTGTTCTCCAGGACAGTCAGCTCCTGGATGTCATCGCCTGGCGGGCGGGGCGGGGGCGGGGGCGAGAGGGGTGTGTCGGGGCGGGGCGAGCGGCAGCGTGAGTGCGCTCAGCCGCTGCCTGCAGTCCGCGGCTGGCGCGGCCGCGCGCAGGCGGCCGCACGCGAGTCGTCGGCGCGCGCGGGGCGGCGGCGGGTGCGCGGCTGTTGGAGGGCTGTATTGATCATCGGCGGCAGCAACACCACGCACCCTTGAAGACGATGTACTCATAGACCTGGTCAGATGGTGGCACCTGCTGGCCCGAGGGGCGCCGCGACTCCGTGCCGAAAGATCGCACTGCATGACGCGGGGGCGGGCAGGCGCGCAGGCTGATGCGCTACGAGTGTGTGGGAAATGGGCACCCCGGCCCGGCCGTGCGTGTGCATGCGTGGCGCGGCGAGGGTGCGCGTGGCGGGTGCGGGTCGAGGCGGAGTGCCCCGCCAGGGCGTCCCGCAGCGCGCTGTTCCCACCGTTGGAGAGAGTGATGGCGCTGGTCTCTATGCTGATCTGCACCAGCACACCCTCGTAACGTATTTGAGACTTGGAGATGAGGCTGTTCGGGGCGGGAGGAGGGGGACGTGGCCAACCCAGCCGCGGAGAGGAGCCATGTTCCGAGGCTAGTCAGAGGGTCTATCTAAGGCCACATGTCGAGTAACAGGCGGCATGGGCCGTTCCACGCAGCGCTGGTCTTGCACCAGACTGATCGCGTGTTGCGGAGCCGCGCCCCTTGCCGGAAGAGGGGCCCGCCGCACGCACCTGATCAGCGAGCCTATCATGCTACTCGTGTCCCCCCCGTCCGCCATCCTTGCTGCCGCCCGATCCCGATCAACTCCGTGATCTGGGGCGCCAGCCGAGGGGGTTCCTAGGGCTATGCTGCAGCGGAGAAACACTACTGGTGAACTTGCGAATGTAGAGGCGGCGATCAAGGGCGTCGTTCAGCATCGCAAAGGGGAAATGGGAACCCGTTGGAGTGTGAAACGTGCTTCCCGCCTGCTTGCTCCTTCACTTTGCATCTTTCCCGACTGAAACCTCACTATGGCAGCCAGGAGGCCTGGTATATGATGATATGCACTATATTCAGCGGATATGGGCTGCCATTTGCACCTTTATACCAGCTGGCACAGGTGCAATGGCGAGGGTCGGTCCGTTTGCTTTGGGCAGGTTTCAAGTTGAAACCTCACTCACGAACAGCATGCCCGCGTTGCTGGTGGTCGCAACGCATGCACCCCAGCCTATACCACGTGTATGGCATAACATGTTGTAGGGGACGGTGCAGTGAGGTCGAGCGACTCGGGCGCGCACACGTGTTGTGTTCCTCGGAAGCGCCGTGTAGCCAGACAGAAGATTAAGAGCAACACAAGGAGGACAAACCGCATATCCACGTGCAGTTGATGGAAACGCATGAGACGCAAGGGCGGTCTTGAAGAGTCCAACTTGACACAGCAGCTCATCCTTGCCCACCTGGTCCTGCCAATTTGACGTCTTTTTGGGGAACCCTGGGTTTAGAAAACAACAATAATCTAAAGGTAGTGGATGGCATAAGTGGTGTGTTTAGGCCCAAAGCGATTGAAACTTCTGGAGAGCATGGACTTCACAATTGTCTATACGTCGAGCTGTGCATGATAAAGTAATGCAGCCCCCCTCGTCACTCAACAAGGGCTAAAAAATGTGGCATGCGGCTCAGCAGCATTCAAACGGGAACCAAAGAGTCACCCTTTCTCAAAACCAACCCCATATCAACCGTTCCTGGTGCTGAGACGCGCACGCCGTGCAAGCTGCACAATCGCTCAGCCACCATTGCAGAGTCCCTGTGGTGTCCTCTAACTACGGCGCCCGTTACTCTGACCGCAAACAGGACAAAATGCCGCTTCCCGCCGGCAGACATGGAAGGTGCAAACATTTTGGGGGCCCGTGTGTTTTACAATCTCAAGTCAGACCACAAGCACTCTCAACAACAGTCAGCCATTTTTATACATCGAGCAGTCCAACTCGAAAGGTAAATTTTCAATCATATCAGATCGTAAATGCTCAAATGCACCAGAGCTCAAGCATGCCAAGGGCTGGTGTGGCTCTAATAGCAGCGCTCCCGAGGCACCACCAACGGTACTCCCTTGTGCTGGTCGGCGCATAGCGCATTAACACCGCTTGTCATCAGCCACCCCCACAGCACGGCACAGCCGCGTACCGCTCACTGTGTTTTGCGCCGCCTACTGGCCTCCAACTTTAATAAGGCGGGATGCTCAGGCTGCACGCCCGCCCTGCTTCATGCTGAGTTATCCTGATCCTTGCCTGATGATTTCGGCGGGACGGGGGAGCATCTTAGAGGGAGGGCGTCCTTGCTGCAGCAAAGGGTTCTAGTATCTACTGACAGTCTAGGTGTGCTTTTGTCGAGCAAGAGTCTGCTGAGGTATTGTATGTGATAATGGGGCAACAACAGGTGCTGCATCCTATCCGCATACGCGAGCAGAGGACTGCCGTCTGCGTCACCGTCGGCCTGTGCACCGCACCTCTGTTTTGTCTCTCACTCGACCCCAACTCCTCCATCACGCATTGAAGATGAATCACCTGCTAACATGTCACTGGAGTTATGTGAACAGTTGCATGTATCTCTCGCACGCAGCCCGCGAAAGCAAACCGGCAGTTACTGCGGCGTGCGGGCGGCCTGGGCACGGACTGCGCTTTGCACGAAAAGAGCGCCTCTACCCATGTACAGGAGGCAGGTTTAATCATTAGCGACATAGATAGACATTAACAGCCCCATCCGCGGAGCTGCAGGACGTTTTTCTTGCAGAAGCAGCTCGGGCGCGCGTAGCGGGTTCGGTGCAGGAGCAGCTGTTTGTCGCATGATTATAAGATAATATCACCAGAGTGAACAGCTACAGCGACCTCAATCGAAAGCAGTGGCGACGTAGTTCTACCTCTGCAGCATGAGGACGGCCTAGAGGCCGTCCTGAGGAGCTATACATAGGCAGATGGAGCGCAACGAAGCGATGGACCCGATGCCCAAGCTCCCCAAGCTGAAAGCGCGGCCTGCGGGGGTCAGTGGCCGCGGCGCGCACTCTGGGGCTATGACAGACGTCGCACACGGCCAAATTATTGCTTGTATACGACTGCAACCGCTTTTCACCTCAGCGAGGCCGATCTTTGGGAGCCAGACCTGCCACTCGCCCGTTTTGCGCAGGCGCATCTGTCTTCGCTTGAGCAGGAGTACGCAGTGAGCCCCAATAGCCCGCTCCTGTCTACAACGGTGCAGAACAACGCCTGGGTGTGCGGTGAGTTGGGGGCGCCATGCATGTGGCGCGGCGCTGCGGCTGAGGCAGGGCGGATTTGCTCAATACATGTCCTTGCACGCACATTTGATAGTAGCTGGGTGGCATGCAGGGCAGGATTTTGTAGCTACGCGCTGGCGAGGGACGGGGCCGCTTGCACATGGCCGGCACAGTCAGCCGCAGCTGCGGAGCTGAGGACTCCGCGCCTCGACACGGCGGTGCTCTGCGCCCGCGGCAACCGCGCGCGCCTCACAGGCGATAATGGGCGCGGGCAGCTGGGCGTGTCTGGTGCACAGGCAGTGCTGGTGCCGCAGCCGATACAGGTGGGCGGCGGGCCTGCGGGATTGGAGGCGAATGGCGACAGGGCTCTGGCGGATGGAACAAACGCCGCTGACAGGCCAGCTGGTGTGGAAAGTTGGCGCCAGCTGTGCATCAGTGTGCAGACGCGAGGTCGCCTGTGTGGGTGCATGAAATTGGAGCAGGCTGGAATGGTGGTGCATGGCTGCGGCGGAACATGCTCGGGCCAGACCTGCCAGCAGTGCGCGGCGTAGCGGCTCTATGTGCCGCGTTGTCAGTGGCACAGCGGCAGCAGAGCGCGCCGCGCCGCGGCCGCCAAGAGGGCCCCGTGGTGCTTGCTGAGTGTGCCGCACCCGCCGCGCTGGGCGTGTGAACGCAATGGCCCGCAGGCTGTCGGCCGCTGGGCGGCGGTGTGCGTGAGCGATAATCACGCGGCCGGGCTGACCTGCGAGGGGCACATCTACACCTGGGGCGCCAACAATCGCGGGCAGCTGGGGCACGGCGACAAGTGCCCGGGCGTCATAGACGCGCCGGTGCAGGTGTCTGCACTGGCAGACACGGAGGTCAAGTGAGCGGGTGGCTTGGCGTTTCTCTGCTGGCACGCGGGGGATGGGATGCGGTGTGCTTATCTCATCCCAAGGCATGGCAAAACGGGCGCCAGCGCCGCGGGCACAGCCTCTCTCCCGAGACAGCTTGCACGGCGTGCACCTCAGCAGCCACGGGCACGGCCACCACTGCGGCGCCGGGGGCGGGGGCGGTCCCCGAGCGCGGCGCCGCTGTGCGTGGCCCGCCGCCGTCGCAGGGCTGTGGCGTGTGGCCTGGAGCACACCGTGGCGATTACGGCCAAGGACATCCTGGCTTGGGGGTCGAACGAGTACGGGCAGCTTGGCCACGGGGAGCACGCGCTGCAGGTGGGCGCCGGCCAGGCAGGGCCGGGCGCAGGCGCGGCCCGCTCCCGCTCCCACGTCATCGCGGACGCTTCGGCGGAGGCCAGCTCGCTGTGGGGTTCCCGATCACGCGCTTGGAGGCATGCATGCGCGCCGTCTGCTTGAGCCTCATGGGGTGCGATTGGCCAGGAACGGCAGCGGCAGGTGGGGAGGGGGGCGCCGCCTCCCGCGGAGGCTGGACCTGACCCCTCGTTGTCCATCCCGGCCTCGCCCTCCCCAGGCGTCGGACGTCTGCAGCCGCCCCATGCCGGTCAAGGTCCTGCATGACGTCATGGTGACGCAGGTGGTGTGCGGCCGGTTCCACACCATCTGCGTCACCGCGCAGTCGCAGGTGCGCGGTCGGGCCGGGGTTGCGCTGCGTTCCCGTTCCCCTGGTTAGGAATGTGCAGCGGCGGGCGATGGTGGCGCTGCAACGGCGTGAGCCGAGGTGGCTGCCGCTCGAGCGTGTGCTTATCGTTCAAATTGGGACTGCATGCGCCGCGACGTGCGCCGCCCTTTCTGCCCAGGTGTTCGCGTGGGGCCACAACAGCGCCGGCCAGCTCGGCCTGGGGGACCGCCGGGACCGCCACAGCCCGACGGTGGTGGACGCGCTGTGGGCGCTGCCTGTGGTGCAGCTGGCGGCCGGCGACGCGCACAGCGCGGCGCTGACGAGCAACGGGCACATGTTCATCTGGGGCAGCAACCACTTTGGGCAGCTGGGACTGGTGAAGGAAGGGGACTCGCTGAGCACAAGGGCGAAGAAGAAGTGAGCGGGGCCAGGCAGCCATTTCTTGGGTTTGGCCGGCCGCTTGGCGGCTGACAACAGGGCCAGCGGGCGTTGCAGGGCGCTCGGAGTCGCCAAGGATGGCAGCCGCCGCCGGCAGCGCCGCGGCCGCACGGGGCGGGCCGCGGCTTGGCAGCTGTGGGGTGCGATTCGCCAGGCTCCTGGGCAGGTGCAGCATGGACCGACAGATCGGCGCCTTTCCCTCCGCCCTCTGCGCCCTCTGACGCGGGCTCCGCCCCCTCGCGCCTGGCCGCCTCCTGCCCTCCGCCCGCCGCAGCCGCAAGCGGCGGCCCAACCAGGTGCACCTCATGGCGATGCTGGAGATGGGCATCCCCAAGCACAAGGCGGAGGTGCGGCGCCGGGCAACGTCAGACATTGCGGCCCCCTCCGTGGTGGTGGAGCGTGCAGCAGGGGCGCAGGCGCGGCGCCATTGGCGCCCCAGCTCGCAGCGGAAGGCCGATCGCACGAGTAGGGGGACGGGCGCGGCTGTGAAAATAAGAAAGGGCTGTGAGGCCGCCTGGCTGGGCGGCACGCGGCGGCCGGACTGCGGAGCGGGCCGGCCGCGCAGGGCGGGAGGACACCTCTTAGAGCTCACTGCTTACGTGCCGCGCCGCGCCGGCGGCCCCTGCTGACCCGTGCCCCCGCAGGTGGCTCTGGTGGAGACTGGCAACGTGGGCGTGGAGGTGGCGACCGAGTGGCTGTTCAGCGCCCCGGAGACGACGCAGTTCGAGCAGCACGGCGGCGGTGCGTCCGCCGCCTCGAAACGCCGTCTGCGCGGCCGCCGCCGCATGCCGTAACGCTGCGTCCTGGAGCCGTGATTCGATCGCTTCTGAAGTCCCCCCTTTTTGCTCCCCGTTCTGTGCCCCGCAGTGGACACCGGCAGCCCAAGCAGCACCAGCAGCGCCTGCAGCATGGAGGAGCCGTGCGCGCTGTCGCCGAAGCGCGTCCCACTGCGCGGCGTGCGGTACATCGGCGCGGGCGCGGCGCACACGGTGGCGGTCACGGACGAGGCGACTTACAGCTGGGGCGCGGGTGAGCAGAGGCGACGAGAACGGGTGCCAGGGGGCGCGGCGCGGTGACGTTGGGCGGCTGGCTCCCGCCGGCTCGCCCGCGACCCGGGTAAAGCTCTGGGCGCTCGCGTCGCGGCGGCGCCTGGCTGGGCCGCTCGGGTGGCAGCCTCGCGGCGCCTGTCGTTGATCGTGTGCCTCTCATTTGTTATTGCGGTGTTGTGCAGGCCAGTATGGGGCCCTGGGCCATGGCACGTACGAGGATAAGTCTGTGCCAACGCGGGTGAAGGCGCTGCTGGGGAAGGACGTCGAGAAGGTGGGTGGGTG